ATTTGCTCTTCACGCTTCAACTAATTTTTAACAAAATAGTACTAAATTGTACTATTTAGCAATTAGAGTTTCACGCTTTTATTAAAAGCACTCTATTTGTCAAATTGCCTAAACTTGCACGCTGTTATGTGTACTAGACTGAAGAAATAAATGTATTTCACTCAGAAAATGTTCATTTACTCGCCAAAATGATAAGCAAAGCTTTGCAACAAATTCCATTAGAATTTCAGTATCATATTAAAATTAACAACTTCCAATAACCTTTAATTCTATAAACCATGAGTACAGGATATTTTACTTTCCCAGAAAAGTTTTGTATATTTAATAATGCCTCTTTTGACGTCACAGCATTAACATATTTGAAGTACAAACCTTAATATCTCCGAGATGCATCACTCAAATCATATAAAAATATCTTACCTTTCAACTATTCACTTCATGTAGAATCAATGCTGAAAACATTGAGTTAGGGGTCATAGGCACTTTAAACGCTATGTTGACACTAACAGAGGGGTCTGGAAGAAAGATAGAAAGAAAGAAAGAAAGAAATGAAGGAAGGAAAGAAGAGTAGACAAAATTTAAAGTAAAGAAAAAAATAACAATTGCATAAAAAAAGACAAAAGAAATCTTACTTTCCCATCAACTGGTCTTCATAGTTCATGAGTTAAGTAAAAAAACACACAAAAAATGATAGAAGATGCGCAATCCCAGAGGGTGGTTTTTACTTTGCCTAAAACTGAATTGACAAAGCTTTGTCTCTGTTGAATGAAACCCATTCAGTTGAAGCTAATGGATCGGATTAGAGCTACGGTCTTTGTCACAGTTACAAATGAAATCTCACTCCCCAGATGAATAAGCCAATCGTTGTGTAGATTTTAAATGATTGAATTCGAGTGTTTAATAGAACCATCTGCTTTTTCTTAAGGAAGTTCTTAAAATATAAGACCTTAAGTAAAAGATACACCACACATAACAGACCGTCTGATTACCTGTGACGATGACAGAAAGAAAAAAAGGAACCACGTTCCGAAAAGTGCGATTTTTGGCCTTATTGATTTTATTATTTTTCCTATTCGAAAAAACACGTCTGGATCATGTTCAGCCGACTGATATCTCTAGGTGTTTAATCAACAAGAGTTATCACTTTTGTAGAGTTACTGAAGAAAAGGGCTCGTCGAAGATGGCTTGTAAGATCCAGAGAATCTGCCAGTTGCATGTTCTGATGGGCGATGAGCCGACTAACGTTTCACATATGTAAGTAAGACAAATTCTATCGAGAAACCTTGCAAACAAAGTACCGTGTACATACCCGATTGATCAAAGGCGCTTTCCTAAGAGCAGGCCTTTTAATTTGATCATGACTTGTGAATTAGTCAGTTTGGCAAGGCAGTTTATTTGTGAAGGCAGATTGGACTGCTACCGCAATAGAGACAACTGGTTCACACTGAGAACACTCTCATGTGTCGAACATACATCAATTACGAGAACCGGTTTTATTAGCTTATAGCGGCTAGGTTAACTCCAACAATTTTWAAAAAAAAGTTGTTAACCTGCTTTTCCAAACCCCCATACTTTTGTTAAGGTTCGTTATTTTTTATCAATTTCTTAACAATTTGCCAAAGTCAGATCAAAGAAACCCCTAAGAAAAAATAATAAATAAGGAAATATAATGAAAGAAAAATGATAATTTTCAGTAGCTGGCATAAATAATGATGCCGTAAGAGTAAACTATTAATGAAAACTATAGATTAAAGGTTGGTCCCCATCAGTGTATAAGCGCCAGCATATTATAACAATGTACGTCTTAAAAGGAAATTAATTATGGGGAGAGAGGCCGGGGGATTTTCTTTAATACATATTTATACAAATAATTTTATAATTACTAGTTGAAAATACATCAAGCAGGGCCGTAACCATGGTTGGGAGGGGGATACAGAGTGCACGTGCACTCCCCCCCCCCTCCCCCCCCACCCCCCATTAAAAGCTTAAGGTCCGCTCATCCATCTGCCTTTTTTTTTGGAGGGGGGGGAGGTGGGGTCGGGGGTGGTTCTGCTTTTTTGGGTTACCTTTTTTCCTTTTTTTTTGGTTCTGCAAATCATTGCCTGTGCACCTCCCTGCAAGATCCCTAGTTACGCCATTGAGTTGGTAATAATAACCGATCAAAGGTCCGATTTTATTCGATGTGCACCCTTCCTGTAAAA